TGAGTAATTGAGTCTCTTTCTGCTAATCAAGCTAATAAAAAGATTGATGCAAAAAATTAAGCATGAGTTGTGAATTTCTTCCAGCTCTTGACTTCTTCAGTTGAGATGAAAAAATTTTCAGTAGAAGAATAACGATTTGAAAATTTTTTTTCCACCTGTGTTCACACGAATGAGGTAAATGCACATTAAATCAAAGATCCAAGAGATCAAATTGCGTCATACTATTATATATAGAATGGGATATTATATATTGAGGAAACTCAGGACTCACTGCACGCATTCCTCGAGCTCTTCTCACCGCACGAATGCAGCCAAGAGGAAGTCATCGTCACAGGTCTGACAGAAGAGCGAGCATACCATACGTACAATATTCAACATTTTTAGGAAGGCAATAATATACTTTGCTTCCAGGAGGCGAATGATTATTGCAGCGTTTTACTGTTATACCAGGAAGCTCAAACTCTCAGCAAAGGTAAATGTTTCTTCATTTTCATTCTATTATTTAAAAAATAGACATATTCTAGTCCAGAAAATTAAAAAAGTGCATAATCGCTTCTTTGTCAGAGTCAGAGAGTTATCTTCCTGGCATTCCCATTTAACCCTTCTCTGGAGCTACTTAGGGATGTCTGACATACCTGTCCCTTCACATAATGGATGGAATCTCCGGAACGAGGCATTGCATGGACTTAATACTTGATAAACTCTCGACTGGAAAGTGCAATGAGATTTTCTTCAGGTTTTGACTGTGACATAAAAAAAGCAGGAACATAGGCGAAAACACAAACGAATGAGACCTATATTTCTTTTTACATGTCGAGGACAACAACTGTTTTATTGTTTGCCTTTTGACCAATTTACCCAAGTTCGTCAAGATTACATTATTTTTTCATCTACTTCGTGAATGAGCAACGAAATATCAGAGAAACTATTAAAGAATAATGTGAGGCAACTTCGTTTTGCACATTCGCACTTGTCGAAACTTACCAGCGAGATTCATATCAGATAAGGGTTACATCTGACCTGAAGACCTTTGTCCAACTTTTTTTCACTCTCCGATCATTTAACTGCTCGGATATATAGTAAGAGTAGCGATTTAAAGTGGAGCGATTTCGTTCCACTTATTATCACTACACCGCTCCCCTGCTTGCTTTGCACAGTGAATCAACATTTCCGAAAATGGTTCCGAAAATAGCTACACTAAGTCGACGCAATTCTGTGTCGCTTTACTTCCTAGTCTACGTATATCTTTGTCTCTTTTCTTTTATCCCTGAAAACTAAAGAAAGGCATCCGATGACAAAGAATGACTCGAGAGGAAACTCCTCGGGGATACTGGGCTACAGTAGAAGCGGCAACCGCAAGAGTCCTTCAGGGTAAGCAAGTCAATCGTTCGCTCACGATCGAAACGAGCAAGCCCCTGACTATTTTTTTTTGTCCTACGTTGGAAAAGACTTTCATTCTCTGTTAACGCAGTGTTTCCCAGGTACGAGTGTGGCACACGCCGCAAATATTCCGGGGAATGGGATCTGGGAATGGAGATGAGTTCTCTGGAAGATTCACATCTGCGTGAAACAGTGGCTTTCATTGCGATCAGATATATGTCATGTGATTTATGTGGGCAAGGAATGTCCTCTCGTTCTGATAGGAGAGAAGGATGTCGATGTGAATCGGCATGTGAAAGAGCATCCTTCATCTGCACTAGTCACAGACGTCTCAGAAGTCAAAGCTGAAGGCTGTCCGAAGTGCTTCAAATGGTACAGTAAGCCGGAGAAACAAATTTACCTCAACCGTATAGACCGACCAAGAATTTTCTCATACTGATTATCAGAAAATACTGATATAGACATTTGGAAAACCATTGCCAAGTTTTCCCTTTGGAGTAGACTTAATCTGTGACTGTCGCTTTTTCATGAAAATTCATCCGTGAAAAAGTATCAGTCAGCTGAAATTTACCTTTATTAACAATTTCTTTTTCATTTACTAGTATATTGTGGTCTATTGCCCCTTGCAGGTTTGCAACCGCGGCAAAAGAAGAAAAACATGACAGGAATAATGTAGACAAGTCATTTTCAATTTCTCAAGTTTTTATGGTACAATCGGACTTAAACGGATTCCTACTCGGATCAGCCTCGCAACCCAATGAATCCTGCACAAATTTCTCACCAGTCACAGTAAGTGTGAGATCAGATGGGTATAATTCTTTGAGCAACATTAACCCTTTTCCTGGTATCCATACTCTCATTCCTTTCATCCTCTTTCTTTACCTCTTTCAGTGGCCGCCGCGTGGAGACTTCTTCAGTTGTTTGCAGCAACCAATTCCATCCTATTGCGACAAAAGTAGGAAATAGTCTACGGTTTGGGTTTTGTGCATCTCTCTTACTCTTAGTGCCCGTTTCTCCTGGGATTTCAAGGTAATTGCAGGAGTTAATGGCTAATAACTGACTTTTGATGAGTGCAGCAATGCATGAATCACATCTGGTGTCATCTAGATAGGAAACGAGGTCATGTACGGTGAACTCATTTGGAGAAAAGGACAAGGGCTGAGAGGAGTGAATCACGAGGGCTGGAGGTATGGCAGCTATTGCCGAGATTTCGGAACAATGCATATGCCTTATTTCAACCAAAACTGGAGTGAGGCAAGCTTAGCGAACATTCGACATATTGACTACCACCGAAAATTGTACTTCGTCGCATGTCTGTGTGTTTGTTTGCGCTCTAGCACCCAATCCGCTGAATATGGTGCGCTGATATATTTCCTATTTTGATTCCTTAGCATCCGAGGATTTATTCTTCATGGAACAAAACTTGCTCATGCGTACAGATTTACTTTCGTTTCCGCGAAAAACTTAAATCCGCAATGAGAGATATAAGTTGCCTGCTGATGTCATGGGAGCCATTGGATATGAATCGAATAGTACAATAAAAACTGCCAATGAGCTCGATCCAATCGGTGCACGAGATCAAGAGTTTTAGGAAAATAAATTGTGTACCGAATGATTGAGCTGCAGACCTACCATATTGCATTTACTCGAACAAACAAGGTTTCCACAAGTGAAGAGTGATGGCAAATCAAACTTCAGAGGTGCAAGTCATTCCCGTTGAGTGTCAGAGCTTCTCAAGGAATATTCTGCACGAGCTCCGTGGAAATAAAAAGTTCTCTCTTCCCCGTTGAGGTGATTTTTTTTTTCCTGATGGTTTTCCTCAAAATTTAGGAAAATTTTATCCGTTGGAAAATGCAATTATCACATCCATATTTTATTGTTGGGAAACAATTCCAACTTTCAGGGATGGTTTTCTGATTTTCTGTTTTTTTTTTTCTGGGAAAAGATGAGGTGTAAGTATGTGTGGGTGTGTGCAGGAGTGAAATATAGCACATAATTTGTGAAATAATTTATTTAACTTCGGTTTATCCAGACATTGCCTGCATCTAGTTTTAAGTGCACCTCTTCGTTGAAGCGGATGAATTGATGAATTTATGGCGTTACATATCCTGAATTCTGAGAGGTAATGCTTTTGACTTGAGTCGAGGAACTCAGTTTGTTGACAGATTTTAATATGGTTCCCCAGGTTCTGCGTCAGGTAAAATCGTAGAGAGCGTATGGAGGTATTCGAAGTCGAAGGGACGACGAATGCAATTTTTTCGCTCTTTGATGTTCTCGAAGTTGTTCACGACCTTTACAATCCCGACCCCACGATACGTGCAGACACGATAGGTAGCGCCCGCTAATTTCTTCGCCTCGACACTGAGGATCTTGTCTAGAAATTTCCTCTTGAAGTCGACCACTCAAATAGTGTTGAGAACGCACTTGAACGTATTTGCGTTGCAGCTCAGGGATACTTTCTCTTTTTCGACCTCGTTCACGAATCTCGCTCGACTCTGAAAATCGTGGAGCCTGACTGGAATGATCCGTTCCATTCTGTTCACGACCAGCGTGTCATTGCCACGAGATATCCCGACGATTCGCTATTGAACGATTACCACATGCTGTAAGCGCTCGCGGCGATCTGCGGCTTCTCGTCGATCGTCCACTTAATTCTCTTGATGTTACCAATGGTCAATCCGACTTGTCTATCGCCACACTCTCACTGCTGCAACCGAAACGCGATATCGAAAAAGATCCCGTTCGGTCTCTACCAGAAATCTGGGGAGACAGTTGGGAATCATTTTTGCCGATCGTCCTTGCCAAGTTGTCGCAAGTTTTTTAATCGCTGAAACCTTTCCACCTCACCCGTTTCGCAACGCGTGTAGTATTCCACTCCGTTCGCTAGTCCGACTGTCAGACCCCCCCTGTGCCAGGTATACTTGTGGTTGTCCATGTGTTGAAAGAAGGTGTTGTCAATGGTCAGTCCATTGCCAGCACAGAAGTCTAGTGACTTTTGCAATTCCCATTCAGTGTGGGTTCTTCGGAACGGCCTGTGTTCCTATTCCACTTAGCTTCATTTTATCCAATTTGTACATAGGATTCCCCATCAGCAAAACGAGATCGCCGTTGGGGATCCGTTATTGGGCCCCATTCATCTCTTCGAGGAACGCCCTGTAGTTTGAATCTTTATTCTGTCAGTAGACCTTAACAACGGCAGCCAACATCACGACTCCCCCCTCGTTCTCTGATCAGCTTCCATTCGATCCCGCTGTCAGCCAGCCGGGGGCTAACGAGTATCCCCATTCACAAGACCTCTTGCTTCACAGAAGCTTCCGTTCTGATGCGCTCCACTCATCCCACAGTACTGTTTTCACATCTCGCTGGTATTTATATTCTCAGGCAAGAAAAGTTCCAAAAGAAAGCGAAATTAAGTAAGGATTCAAGTGCTACCATTTTTCCGGTCCAACTTGCAATTCTTTCTTTGAAGGGTCCATCGTTATGGATTAACGTTCCTTTAGGAAAGAAAATTTTACAACCAGAATTTGATAAGAATTCGCAGAGGTTTCACAGAACTGGACGCATCTCAACTTAGTCAACATGTATCGAGAGAACTACTATTATAGAAAATAACAAATAAGAATTGTCACATAATTTCTAGCGATTTTATTATGGAAGACAAGCCAGTGTGAAAGAAATCGATCATAGTACCGACGACGACAAAGAGTAGCACCATTGCGAACATTCGTTGAGCGTAAAACAATCAAAGGAATCGAAGGATATGACTAGCAAGACAATGACAGAAATGGGAGTGTTCGAGCTCGAGTTCGGATCTGTCGCTCGATGGTATTTTGTAGAGCCTGCTTCAGAAAAGCATTTTAAAGTTTAAACTTGAATGCGTTCGACAGGAAAAATTTTCCATAAGATGAACGAGTACACAAAGCACACATTCGAGAAAAAGTCCAATGGGTTCGAGTTTATGGAGAACTATGAAGGAACGAGTACTGCTGGATGTCATCGCTGTTGAAATCTCATCTTTATGATGTCCCAGGAGTTTAACTTCATTACATCGACACGGACTCTTTCGAGTTCAGCTGGAAAGTGGAAGTTCTTGGGAGTCGGGGCCACTGACACTCTGACCTACGTCCTGTAAGAAATCGTTACTAAGCTGAGGGATGCTCTGGGCAGAATCCGATTGAAAGATGTTGGAAACGGGGAGCAGGTTAGGTCGAGAGTGATGCCCCTGATGATGATGAACTGATGCCCCACTACCACCAATTCCTCTCATGCAGACCTGGCATCGAGATATCTTATCGGTCAAATTCCCTCCTTTCAACGTCAGTGGACGAGGGGTATGGAACTGTTCCGAGTCCCCGATGATTGCTAGCCAATAAGACAATGCCGTGGGGAACGTGTTGCACGTTCCGCGTCCGTGGCATTCGATGAACGGAGTGCTTCGGAATTCCTCCAAACAGGAGCCCGGAGAGATCAATGGCTGACCTCCGCCCTCCGCTCCAGAGTCAGTGTGCTGGAAAAGAGTGAGAGGGGGGAATGCAATTAATAGGACGCTGTACCCGTAAATTTAGGCCTTTTGCCATATAACACTGATTTTGTCACGCACAAAAGCCTATGTCAATGGCATGCACTCTTGGAACTGCTTCTAATGATGGTGCCACGAAGGACTGAAACCGGAAGTAATGCAGCTGGTACTAGTCAGTTTTTGGAGTCAATATCACGTAAACGGCGAGACTGATCGCAAAATCCCGAGGTCATGCCAAGGAGATTGTCAATACAGTAACGGAAATGAGGGTGGTACTCTCTAAATTGAGTGCGTCTTTATGACGTCTGAAAGTCTTCGCCGTAGAGCTCCATCAAAAAGGGGCTGTTTGCACCTCATAAATACAGAGTGGGTGGTCCAAAAAATGTTACCACTAATTGGGAATAAGCAATGCAAGTTTGTAATCACAGATCGTACTTTAATGCTAAGCTTTATATGCAGAATGATATTACACGCATTAATATAAATTTAAAGGAGAACGTAACCATAAATACAAGGACATTGCAATTGAATTTTAAATTTGAATATGAAACTACCATAACAATATTTTTCCATTACAGCAGACACATTTTTTGAGCCACCCTATATAAACCTGTTAGCTTAGTTGGGACAGGTAAACCTGTCCCAACTATTCGTGGATGATTCCGCTTTCTAAGGGCAAGTCAGAGAACATTACAACCAATAAGCCATGTATACAATCATGTTTATCTGAAATCAGATAGACATAGTTGTCGTGTCTGTCCGATTTCAGCCAATCTACCAATCTTTCAAGTGCTCAAGTATCAATACAAATATATTCGCATAATTCGTATCCGTTCTCTTTTGACTTTACCGTTGACACAGAGATTCTTCAGAGACAATTCTTTAGCTGTGAAGAAAATGGCTTATCCATTCTAATCCCCTCCCCATTGAAGCTTTAGAGGCCATTACTTTAGAGACCAGAGACAGGGGAAACCTTTGTACTTAATTGATGTAAAGGTGACAGGACCCAAGACAAACCGAAAGTGGCAACCGACAAAGCAGTAGAATGAGTGCCAGTAATGAACCTGTAAAGGCCGTCAGTAACAAGACAAATAATGTCGCTCAGATTTGAAATTCTCGGCACCCCTGCTCAGCAGGGGTGCCTGAATATACAGGAGGAGCCAAAAAAAGGACAGTTTTTAACGATAAGCTATACTGCACTCAATAATACATTTTAATGCGGTTTGCGGCATTCGAAAAGGCAATGACTAAGCTTTGACATGGTGTACTTACATTTCACATATTTTCAGCAGTTTCAGAAATTCTGAAACTCATATGAACTACAAACAAAACGTGCGTTGTTTTTTTGTAATAGTGGGGATGGACAGGCGGCGGCTGAAGGTCACATGCCGTCTGGGTCCGAGTGCACGGCAACGCAGTTTTTGTTTCTTGTTCATATGAGCTCCTGAATTTCTAAAACTGTCGAATATATTTGAAAAATAAGTAAACCATTTTAAAGTTTATATGTTCCTCTTTCAAATGCCGCAAACTGCATTAAAATATATGCAGTGAGTGAAGTGTAGGGTATCGTTGAAAAATGTCCGGGTTTTTTTGACCCAACCCGTATAATGAAATTTGCACACAGATGACAATCGAAGAAAACGACTCCTAGATGTCCTTGGCTCTCCGTCCCCCCTAACATTGGTAACACCTTCATTTTACTTTCCACTGATAGAGATGCTCATCTGCTTCTTTTTACTAACGCAGGAATCAAGCGGTACCATCAGATGTATGAATTTTTAACTCGCCGCACCGATTTTCATTGAGAAATTAAGCATTCTCGAGAGATACAATATACTGCGAGACATACATGAAAACTTAAGATATGTATCGAACTTGTAAATATTTAGGACCGTTACTGAAGTCAAGATACTTCTTTTTGGTTTCGAAATCGGGAGAGGATAAATCATGAGAGGAATGATGTTGGGAAAAGCATGAACAAGGGCATAGGATTATTACATGTCAAATGTACGAACAGCCTATGAGGGGCTTCTCATGGATTTCGTTGGAATTTATCTTGGAGGTTTGTCTTATTGATAAAAAAAAAACAATCAGGACAAACGGTTTTTCATTCGCTCTAAAAGTTTCCAAGATAAAGGGTCGCAAAGTATTGACCTCACCATGCTTCTGCGCAGACCTCTCAGGACGAATTTCTTGATATTTATTACTTAGCTATTCAAGCTAAATGAATGTGTAATATTAAATATTTAATTTCGAAGCTGCTAAAGATGCCTTTCCACCTGCTGCATTGTTTTCCAGTTTTATCAAATGAGCCGAAATTTATTTTAGAAACTGTTCGAGTTCTTTGACTTTGACATAAAAACACTATTTTAAATTATTTAAGTTGGCCTTTTTGAAGGACACATACATACGACGAGTCGCAAGAAATCTGAGGAGGGTGTTCTTAGTTTGACATATTCCTGTTCAAATAAGAGAAAAGATGAATGCACGACACATTCTACAGTATATTTTTCAAGCTTGAATGCTGGGAGGAGATTCAGAGGAAAAATTCAGTTTACGTGTTTTTGGAACAAGGAATACTTTTCTTTTCATCATCATTTAATAATGTTTAAACTCTACCCGACTGCAAAACTGGATTGACATGGCAGAGAACATTAGCTATAGGTTTGGTTTCCTTCGAATGTCTTTTGAATTTGAAGGATGAGGATGGCCTTTTGGGATTCCTGTAATCAACTTCCACTCTGTGTCTCTCTCATGATTTTGTCTTCGAGGTGACAGTCCCAAGGTACTGATCCTTGTCATATACTGCAGCACTGTAGACATTAATCTTGTTTCTCTCAAGCCTGACAAGGGGCCAATCGTCAGAGCACCGTGGATGACGACCTTGCTGGGATTGGTACCTTGGGACTGGCACCTCGAAGACAGGATCATGAAAACTCAGAATGGAAGTTGATTTCATGAATCCCAAAGAGCCATCCTCATCCTTCAAGCTCATGAGACATAGGAAGCACTTGTGACCCTATATCTTGGAAACTATGAAAGTGAATGAAAAATCATTTGACATTATTTATTTATTGTTATCGATAAGCCTAATTTAAAGGAAATCCATGGGATGCACTTCACCACTTTTTTTTTTCAGAATTCTATGCACTGAAGATCCAATGGTAGGGAGCCGTTAAATGCCAGATATGTATGACTGGAAGTTTACTCAACATTTATCAACAGGAGGCAGTAATTTACATGAAGGGGAAAAAGGAGAGAAGGATTACAGTTGTGAGAGAAGAGCAGCAGACCAGGGTGAGGAGAGGGCAAATAGAAATAAATGCTGAAACGGAGGTTGGGGTCGTGGCATGATCATCCGCATGGTCAGCATTCTATTTCAACCTAATCAGTGCGGAATAACTTCTATTTCCATTAATTCATTCATTTCTTCATTTTCAAAGCAGCTTATTCTAACTTATTGGGATCACAGCTCAAGCGAGACCTCATCCTCGTGTTTCCTGTCCTGAACAAAGGACTTGAGCTCAGCAAATGGAATACTGAACCTGACAGCAAAGCTTAACGATTTAGTCCATCCAACTTGCACGAGGTCTACCGACTGTTCTATCATTTTGGATTGGAAAATTATTCTCGGTGAAGTCATTCGGGAGACATGAAGGAGACAAGTCCAAAAAAACATTTCTCTCCCGTAGTTAGGAATGGGGCTGATATTCCTTAAAAAACACTGTATTCTTCCCACTTCTTCAGTGACTTGCACGGGTGGTGTTCACAGTTAATGATAGAAAAGTGACGAATCTCGAGTCAGATGGGTTTGGGAAAGCTTAACTCCGGAGGCCGTAATTTGGGGATGGGTGTGAGAGTAATTCCTGATTCACGGTCTTTCAGGATCACGATAGGGAGACTCTCCTTTAACTGATGGGCTACACATGAATGATAGGTGAGGGTCTTTCTTCTGTGATCCACTCGCAAAAACCATTAAAAATCTGTGGCGCGTTGACATCTTCGGATGCAGGACACCCCAAGTGCCAATATTGCAACCACCACACACCACCCCATTTTTCACCACCACCAGCTGATCCAGGCAGGAAGGGGGGGGGGGGGGGGGGCTGCAGAAGTAAGGGAAAATGCTGAGTCACGTTGGTATTAGTCCTCTAGATGCTGCTTTAACCTTGTACATTCATAACTGACACGGCCAGACAAGAGTGTGAAATGCCCAAATCCGCACTCTTTTTTGGTGAATTCGAACCACTCAAGTATTGGTGAAGTCAGCAAATCTGGTTCATTTGGTACAATCATGGTAGACATGGACCTCCATATCTTTTCGACTTTTCCTCTCCAAACGATATTCCAAGTAGTGATGAGATAAGCGCTTGGAGATACGCTAAAAAAAATAATAATAAAACATTTTCAAGTTTGTATGACCATGACTAGCAGATTCGATCGGTTTCCACCAACCGATCAGTCAGCCTTTGATTGAGTCAGAGACAATGCGTTGTTTTCCTTGAAACGACAAAGCCTTCCAGCAAGAAAGCTGTGAGCTGTTTATGATAAGTTGCAGGCTTCGCCCCCATGAATCGCAGGCGGGAGGAGGCTGCCCCACCCCGATCCGTCGCCAAGTGTTACATGTTCTAATAGGAAGAGGTGGATAGTACCATGATGAAGGAGAATCCGGTCCAAATGCCATGCCATCCGGAGGGACAAGCCGGGATCTGTGACGTCTGGCTGTGAACGGCGATCGCTCGTGTCGGCGCCTCGCACACGCTACACCTGTAAAGAACCATCGATTGACGTACACTTCAACAACCCATCACCACACTCAATCAATCATCAACGTGTCCCTATTGTTCGCGTGCTAAAACGTACTTCATTTCCCCCTGACTTTTTGCTCTGACGGCAGAGAAAAATGTGAAATTTTGCTTTCAGGGTGCAGAAATACGTACAATGTAGAATCCTGCACTGCAATGTTACGGTACTCGGACCCCCAACGAAGGGAATTCAAGCTACAACCTTCCGATAGGACGCTTTGAAGGCTCCATGCAACTACCTGGACACGTAGTTGGCGATTTGAGGACCGGTGACGGAGGTCATGGACATTGGCAGTGGCTCTCCCGTGCTCAACCAGTAGCTGTAGTCATTACGGCTCGCATAGTTGCACACGTCGTTCAGGTTGCAGAACATGAATGGCATCGGGGTGAATCGCCTGAGGCAGCTACCCGGTGTCCCTGCAAACATCAACCGTTCTTTGCGTTTTACCTTTCTGGGTGTTCGTGGAGACCCCCCAACGGTCTCCCATCGTTGCATCGAACGAGAACATCTGTGCCTTGCACTTTCCATGCCAGCGTCAACAAAACGCCTGGATGAGAAATAAGGTATTCTTTTGAGTCGAATAGAACAAAGTAGTGCCACAGATACAGTGGTGTGTCGATTTTCCGAGTTAACCAAAACCCAAGAGTGTGTGGATGATCAATTAGTTCGCATAATCGAGTAATCGAGAAAAGCACTAAGAAGTTTCTAGAAGAACTAATAGCACGGCAATGAGATTAATATAGTTTTTTTTTTTGGGGGGGGGGGAGATGGAGCTACTTTCGTTTTCCAACGAAAATGTTAGCTAAATCACTGCGAAAATTGGTATGCTTAGAAGTTCGTTCGAAGCCAAAGTCAAGCCAAAAGCATGGCTTTGATCGTGAAATTTTAAGTAACCGTCTGCCTTCCTAGATCCCAACCCGAAGATCCATGCGCATCGTTCAGCCTTGGTCGAAGTGTCGCGCTACCAACCAGAGGTCCCAGTTTCCTTCTTGACTTTGTGACTGACGCCTTTATTTTTTTACTAACGGAGACTGAGGCTGTGTATCTCGAATGTCAGCTTAAATAGGGTTATTAGCTGAACTCGTGCATTATCATATCTGACAATGCAACAAATCGAACTTTTTCTCATGATCCTATATCTTCCTACCTGCCGCATACTCATCTTGCTCCCAACATTCATTGAAAGGAGCCCCACCACTGGACTGGGGTTGTTTGATCCCTTTTCAGTCCTTCTTTCTACAATTGCCGCACAACCTGATATTCTTCTTTACATCATATCTTATCATCTTATTACCCAAGGACTTTTAATGAGAGAAAAAAAACTTTATACATTATGTATAAGATATATCACCCCAACCAATGAAATTAATGGAAAATCGATCCTGAGAAAGAAGAGGTTCCGATTTTTTCATCTACTTTTTGGCACTATCCTTAAGTATACTGTATTGTTTAAATTAAAAAAATAGGCTGCTTTGGTAGCTCTGGAATTGCCACAGCTTTTAAAAAAATTCCGTCTGTCCGCATTTGTCATAGCAATGAGAATGATAGACCTTCACTTTTCTGCATTTTGAGAAATGAACAAGTTTCGCTGGTGCTATTTGGGTGGCAGCAGCCAGTTGCAAAGTGGTTACCAGTAATATAGCAGCAAGAGCCTGTAGTGACCTGTATAATGACAGATAAGTCCCTGAATTGAATTTTGAAATTTACCAGAAATTTAAGTTTTTCTTGATAATTTCAAATGTGTCAGATTTCTCTAATACACCATATATAATCCAATGCAAACGTTACCCAATTTTTAATCTTCGAGGAATATGGTTAAGATTTTAGCACGAATCCGTTGTAAAGGGATGCTCTTCGCGGGACTATCACGGCTATCTTTCCTCAAGCTCTTAAGTAGTATGTGACGAGAAGAAAGTGCAGACCGAGATCTTGGACGTGAGTGCGTGCATCTCCCATGATGTGTAGAAGACTGTATCCCTCCCAGAGTCTCGACGTTCCTCGCGGGCAGCTAGGAACAATCTTTCTCTGCGAATGCTTTACGAAATAAAATCCCCCCCCTGAAGGAGGGGGAGCCGGAGGGGCAGGATCGCCCGGCAGTCCGCTTGCACCAGGAGGCCCCGGTCGTCCGAACGGTCCCGGAGGGCCCGCCTCGCCTGGTGATCCCTTTGGACCCCCTTCGCCTTGTGGTCCCTTATCTCCAGGTGAACCGTCGTCTCCTGCATATCCCTTCCGCCCGTCCGTTCCCGGGATCCCCATCGGACCCTTTTGACCCGGTTTGCCTTAAGCACATCCACGATAGTTGTGCACACGAAACATAAAAAAATAATTCAGATAGTCTTGGAAGCCTTACCATCTGGGCCGGATGGTCCTACATTACCATGAAGTCCACGATAGCCAAGCGGACCTGGAAATCCAGGCTCCCCTCGCGTACCCTAACCAAGACGAAAAATCATGACTACAATCTCAGTTCTCTCCAAAGAGGTAGAGCTTTCTGTACTTACAGGGAGACCGCTGAAACCAGGTAGCCCTGGAGGACCTATCGGACCAATGGGTCCAGCTCTACCAACGGTACCCGGTTTACCTCTTGGTCCCGGGTTCCCAGTTTCACCAGGTGGACCTGTTTGACCGTGGATACTACTCGATCCGGGGTATCCTTGGTCTCCGGGAGGACCCTTCTTCCTGAAAAGGTTTCATTTTGATAGTAATTGTTTCATAGTTTCATATGATCAAGCAAAAACGTTTGAAACTCTTCGGTAAAAAAATGTAAGAATCGTGAGGAATTCGAGCTCCTAAATCCAGGAGACAAGACTTTGGTGCGAAAGAACCGACGGCGAATGCATAAGAAATTTAAAAGTATACGATGTCTTGAGAAGTGGTGCTTTTTCGGAGTTTCATTCCTCGGGTAACGATGAAGGAAATCTACAGTGGCTCTGGAAATGAAACACTAAATTAAACAAAGCTTCAAAAGCTTTACCCAGATGTGCCTGAATTAAGTTATTTTGAATTTTTTGTTTTCCTTCAAAATTCACCAATAAATAGAACTTTCCGATCATTACAAATTTTTTTAAAAATCCAGTCATTAGTTTTGAAAATATAGGGCGTCTTATATTTAGGACGTTAGGAATATGCACACGCTTCTTTTATCAAAAGAAACATTTCCTGTGGAGGTTCGATTCTGCGACAAAAAATTTAAATTTGCGCAAACTTTTATAAGCTATGTTCAGCGTCAAGATTCTTTTTTGAAAATGGGGACTTGAATATTTTATTAGTGGCTTATGGAATTTTCGATTGAATAGAAAAGTTTAAGTTCCGAAATAAATAATAAAACACCATTGTGTCTAAAGTAGAATCTGATTGAAATCATGTGCCTTCCATGGGAAGATTAGTGAAGGGATAAACTGAATAAGACCTCACAAAATTATTGAACGTGAATTTTCTTGACTGGAATAAAAATAAGTAGTCATACATAAAGTCAGAGGGGACATAATTAGAAGAATGATGAAAGAGGATTCAAGCATGAGGTACGTGGTCACGGTTCTACAGGGTGAGACAGTAACCTTAACGACTTTAAATTATCCTCTTTGTATAAGGAATGTCATGCTTGCAAAATAATCGTGCTGGAGACAGCATGGCTTGGAACCAAGTATCGAAATACCTGCTGCAAAGTCAGTGGACTCTCAACAAAAAAATCCATCAGGCAGACAATTTTCCTTAGTACCACAATTGATTACCTGGAAATCATTCTGAACTAAATTAGAAACAAGAAACTTTTGGGATTGTTCCACAATGTGGCACAATATTATACTTCCATTCTGAAAATAAAAACTGCAGGAAAAGAAGTGAAAAAATATGTACTTACTGCTCACTCTACATAATATAAAAAATGAAAACCAAAATGTCGTCTTTTCTGCCAGTCAGCATAAACTCTTTGTGCTGACTGGCAGAAAAGTCGAATGGCACTCAATGTTGAATGCACACATGCCGTATGGGAATGATGTTATCGTGAACTAAACTATTATGAACCAAATCTACCCATTAACGATTTTCCCTCTTCAAGCCTTTCCGAATTAAGACTAGTAACACGGTAGAGTCGCATTAGATGAAAGCCTTCACGTGCTACTTGTCCTTCCTACATCAGCCATGTATGTATTTCGTAGTAATCAGAAAGGGGCAGTAAGAAGCTGAACAAGAATATCGCGATATGAAGGCATTTCCACGATAGGAACATCATTTTTCGATATCATATCATGATAATCAGCACAATAGAATAAAATGAAGAATATGCACTTTTAATATAATCTTTTAAAAGAATTTTTAAATGCAAGAAAATTGATGCACACATAATTGTCCACATATATGGACTTACTTATGGATTACAGGATTTCTGCACTTTTTTATTGCACTTTTTTCAGTGATTGTTCAGCTAAAGTGAAAGCATGTGAAAATATCATATCCCTGCTCATCTGCTCTTATGCAACGAAGGTTGAAGTTAGGGATGGTTCAATTGTAACCCAAGAGGTAAAGTTGGAAAAAATAAAACAAATCGAAATGAGAGAAAAGGCAATGGGACTAACAGGGAGGAGTGAATGCTCCTACATCATTGAAGCTGACATAAGAAGTCGCAAAAAAGGTATTTATTTTTCACATTTCCATCTGATATACGAACCCCAGACTTTTCTGCAGATGACACTCCGGATGAGTAAGGCCTAGTTTTAAAAATGTTCACTCTCTGCTTTAAACATTTTTTGATAGCTTTTGCAAGTAAAATCATAGTGAACATGCAATTTCCTTGATAATCATTCCAACTTTGACATGCTCCAACATGGCTGAGCGCAGACGGTAAACGAATTCACGAAATTTCGTGAATTCCTCTTTTTTGCATTTTTAAAAGTAAAAGGATGCCATTTAGTAAAATGCCCTACTAACAACAAACAAACCTCATGTTTTTTGCACAGGACATCCTTAACGCATGGATGAATGCTAGTTTCGGCCAAAAGAAAGCTTAAAAAAAAGAAATTAATAATTTAAAATGCAACCAGAACCATAATATCACAAGATAATTGGTATCAAATTCTTCACTGATATTCTTCACTGATACCGCTTGTCGCTCGCATTCAACTATGTTATCCCTTTCAGACCGGAATTAAGGCCACCATTGGAATAATGTAATTTTTTGCATTTTTGGACTCTTTTTCCTATTCTATTTTAAATTTTAATGCTCTATATGTTGTTTTTATATATTGTATAAATTTAAAATATCATACCATACATTGTATATTGTGCATGTAATCATATAACTGAAGATAACTGACGGGTGAGAGAAGGCCTCCGACGGAATTGAGCCATACATAATTGAATTCATTGTAGTGTAATATGGGGCGCAAAGTCACGAAAATACCAATAAATTACCACTGAATCAATGAAAATGCAATTTCCATTGGAATGGACGCGAGGTCTGATAGGGCTAAAGAGGGCGAATATGACATACTTGGTGAGGTGCAGTCACGCAGATTGCTCCTTCACTGCGATTTCCGTTATTTTGAATTGGCAAAATTATAGCAATTGAAGCCAGCATGGCATTTTTATGGCGCAAATATTTCTTTTTTTCTAAGATGTCACGTGCAGATAATCATTAGACTCCCACGATATCGGATGAAAGTATACAGGGTGATCCAAAGATAACTGCCTATTTTAAAACAGACATAATTCATGTTGTGGGAATGATAAAAAGCATCATTTTAACGGCATTTAAAGATAATTTAATGCCATTTTATACGACATGGATTAAAGCTCCACATAAGCACCAGCATTTTCCACAGTTTTTCTTAAGCGCACAGCGACATTATCCACAGTGCGTCAGAGAAACTGCTGTGGAGCATTCTGTGTAACTTCACTGATAAAATTATCCAACAGGTCAAGATATCTGGGTTTCCTTTAGGAAACATTTTCCTTGACCTTGACCTTGAATGTTTGTACCCTCACATCAGAATCTCGGGTAAAATTTGCATTATTCTAACGGGGCTGAAGCAATTCTTATTCCTTGAAGTGAATCTGACACCAAAAGGAAGATCCCACATCATATCGATGACTCACAACCTACATTAAACTGCTTGTCAGATTAAGCCTTATTTGCTTCATTCTCACAATGTTCTACCTTTAAGGAAATAGGCAGGAGCCAGAGTAAAGCCTGGTCTGACTTTTTTCCTTATGAGAATGGGGGTTTTCAATCCTCAGCAGAAAATGAGTGCAGCATCTTTTTTTAAACACCCTATAAAAAGTAATTAAACTGGAGCGTCTTTCCGACGGCGTAGACATGTAAAAAATGTATCTTACCATCCCTCCCTCCTTGGAACCTTGAGCTATCATGACGTAAAAGTTTTCGATTTTGCGACCAGAGGGTACGCTGCCCGTGCGATCGAAAGTTTTGAGCACCCAAACTATGTCATCTTGAGCCCTTGAGTCCTGAACTAGAGCCCTGGAGTTCGTGCCGAGCGATTCAGACGCCTTAGGATTTTGTCACATTTAGTCGAAACTTATCTCATTGCAATCACGCAAGGAAAATGAGAGGAAATGAGAGAAAACTATTCGCTTGTTAGGGAATCCAAGGAACAGTAGACTATCGAATGCCTCATGTCAAAGCAGACGACACTTACCCCTCCAAATATTATTATTTCCTTGCTTTTAGGGGCACTCTTAACGAGCTGATTACGCATAACAGATTTCTATGCCTCATGACTCGCCGTGCCTCTGATACACGTGACGCACAAGTATGTCTGATGGAAATTTCAACTTCTCCCACCCTCCGAAATTCAGCTGTATCACGACTTTATATTTGCAGCAGCTTTGAACAAGTAGGACTCCTCACCGGCATCTGCTTCCAACAATACCTCAAGAGCCTGTAAAACTTGCCTGATAAGCTTGCATAAGTGTGTAATAAAAAAACAAATAATGTGTGCATTCTCGCTATTTCTCGGTGTAGGGTAAAGGCACCAGTTTGTGGACAGGCTAAGAAAACTTTCCTCTTGAAAATTGCATTACGGTCACTGGGGTAACCGAGAAACCGCTTGATTGGTTTCAATGGGAGGCCACTATCATAGTTTTATGCCCATACCCTGAAATACAATATTAAAAATATACTTTTCCAACAATAGCTGTTTAACACGTTCGCTGCCGATGACGCACCTCGTCTTTATCCTTTCCATAGAAACGAACGTCATCGGCAGCGAACGTGTTTAAAGGATTTGTATTTATTTTCACGTGGTTCCCAAGTAGACGGCCTGGTTCGTTTGTGTACATCCACGGACCTAGTTTGTGGACATCAGTTTTTTGTCAACAATTATGAACATGCGTAGGCCGAATAGGAAAATATGGGCATGATATATGAACAGCAATTTTATTAATCTTCTTTGATGTCCTGTTAAGAAATATCATTGGAAAAATTAAGGAATTTAGGGGTGCTAGGTCTAGAACTATGCGAAAATATCCAATTTCACTCATGTTGATGGGTATGCATAATACATATGGTGGCTGACAGGCATGTGCAAAATATGGAGCACTTGAGGAAATAAATTTTCGGCGTGAATTTTGCGAAATGGCAAAAAACGCAGAACTGTCCACAAATAGGTGTCCGTCCACTGACTGGTGCCTCTACCCTTTAAGAGGTACGGCGCTCTCAAAACGGTGTCTAGTCAAGGGTAGTCAATGGTTCTGTACCTCTCGTATTCTTTTGAATATAATGAAAGTTAGAAATGGGAAGTAAGATGCACTCACCCGCTTATCCCAGGTATACCCAGTTCTCCTCTCAAACCAGGCAAACCGGGCAACCCGGGTATTCCTGGAATTCCGCCTCGACCGGGCTTGCCTTCAAGTCCAGGTAATCCCGGCAGGCCAGGTATTCCAGGTATCTTTTGGCCGACGGGACCGGGAGCACCTAGGGGACCTTCCTGTCCTGGAGGTCCATCTGGGCCGTATTCTCCCGGTGCACCCTTTTGGCCCGGTCTTCCAGGCACGCCTGGTGCGCCAGGGATACCTGGCCTTCCTTTTTCGCCATCCTGTGCTTTCCTCACCAAATAATCTCCTAATATCGGGAAGAAACCTCCTTGTCAAGTGATTGGTCCTACATGGGAGATGTAAACCAAATAATAAAATGGTCTTTTATATTAATAAAATAATAATAATTTAGGATTGAATGAGCCCAGATTTTGAATGAAACTTCATCATTGAAGGATTTGGAAAGAGGAAGAGAGAGAGGGAGAGGTGAAATTGGTTCTAAGAAGGAGATGAAGTTTATTTTAAAATAAAAAAGAAACAAATAAGGAAAATAATTATTGAGCGTCAAGAGGCGTGCTGATTTTAACCATGATCTAGGGACGATTTTGCCAAGAATGCCATTAATCTTGACGGGTAAGAGAGATGCTGACCACGAATATAGATTAGTCCGTCAGTGAGGTTTAAGCGTCACGATACGGGAGCATCGGATTCGTTATTGGAGCCACGAACGCGTTCGGCAAAACGGTCGGACCGGGTGCACGACTTTCGGTCAAAAGACATAGCGACTGCTCCAAATGTTTACCATCATTCTTGTCAATTTGATGCTCCTTTCGAAAGACTCATGGGTGAAGCACCAAATGCTTCCTCTACGAAACTTTCTTTCCATTCGGATGGGGGATACATCTTACGCGGGATGGGGGATACTTAAGCATTTCACTCTTTGTTGACTTCATGTTGACGGGTTGACGGGTTGTTGAGCTTTGTCCAACCAATTTGTCCAACCCCAGCGGTGAAGTTGATTGCTCAAGATTAGAGAGCTTAACGATGCATATTTAATTTTATATAGAGTCTAGCCAAATTTAGCCAGTTCAGAAAGTGCTCTTCGCCATCAGTCACATCTGCTACCATTTTTTACACTTTTTCATTTCCGGTTCGGAGCCAATTCCCAGTATTCATTTTGAGTCAAGGGCGTTTCTCAAAGCTGATATAGCTTAATGGTAGGAATAAACTTACCAAAGATCTTTCTCATTCCAGTTACACTCGTTTCCAGAACGGGTCTGCGATCTCATTCAAACTACTTACTTTTACGGCTTCTGCAGCAATTTCAAGGTGCACCATTTTTGCCTTTCATTTCTATTGTCTTGGCTTAACATGCCACTTTGGATCTTGTAACTCCTTTGCCAGATATACTGTATATACTGTACTTGAACAAAAATGAAGCTATATGTCAATCGATGGATTGGAAGAGAAAGGCCAATCCTATTGCCACCACGGTTATCAGACATGATCTATCCAGACTTTCTTATTCCAATGCATGAAAATGACAGCGCACAAGATAGAAGCAACAAATTTGGATGCTGTAAAAGAGCGAAAAAGAGATGCGGTCCCAATAATTACATAAAAAATGCTTCAAGAAACAGGGGCAGAAATTGATTATAATCTGAATATTTGCAGAGCGGCAAACGGAGCCTACATTGAAGGTTAGTAAAGATAAGTATACAGGTTAAGAAAGATCATAGTGTTTAGATACTGCCTGCTGCAAACCCGGTTAATATTTCGAGTAGTTTTCAAGACATACATTTTGAAAACCTCCCACAATAAATACCCCGTATTAGCAGCCCTGCATTAAAAAATATTGTCGAGACTTTACATCCACACTGTCTGTGAGACATGGCTAACCTTGTAGTCCAGGAAGTCCCACATCTCCCTTTGGTCCCTTTGCTCCAGGGATCCCAGGATTGCCATTCTTCCCAGGTAGTCCCACATCTCCTGGACCTCCCTGAAAACAAAGCGAAGGGTCGTGTTAATTTTATCTCTCTCGTGCGACTCTAAAGGTGGAAGAGAGATTGGATCTGTACAGGGACTGCATTGGAACCAGGTGGCCCCTCTTCTCCTCGTTGACCGGGGAATCCGTCGGGTCCAGATGAACCGCTATCACCAGGCAATCCTGGGAAACCATTCAAGCCGGGTTGACCATTGAATCCTTGCTCTCCGGGTGGCCCCTTCAATGACCCAGACAATCCAGGGATTCCAGGATTGCCTGGCACTCCTATATCTCCTGGGATACCTGCAACATCATAGAATGGTTGAATCTTTAACTCCCAAAACGTAGGATTCTCCGGTTGAAGTGAAGGTGAGAAATTTGGAGATTTTGTCTGGATCGAACACTGGATTTTGTCTGGATAAATACAGTATTACGATACCTCTTCGTTCATAGTATTTTTTTTCGTCTGCATAGGAACATAATCCTTCTCACAGAACATGCTAATGAAATTAACTTTTCGTACCAATTTCCCTAAAAAGTGCTCGGAATGCACAAGTTAGCACACAATACTTGCCTCCCCCCTCTTCAACAAAACTCTACACGTTTAGGTTTATGGCTCTGCTACAGCAGGTTACTAAAGAGACCTTCAAAGCAGATTTTTAAAAACAACGCTGGAGTTTCAAACGAGTGTGAGCATGTGAGCATTTACGTGTTATTCATCGTTGTATGGCTGAGGGTGCAACATTCTTCATGGATTGCTGCGAAGTTGAGGAGAAATAAAGGGAGCAGAAGTGAAATAAGAAGCGACTTCTTCCTACCCTGGCTGCCATCCACCTACCCTCATCGTTGCCAATTCGCCATGATATGGTCAAGCAAAGATAACTCATAAGTAAAGGGATTGGTCTCGCTTAGGACAACAGGGATGGTCAAATCACCTACATTGAAAATAATTTTACTTTGGGATACTGAAACCATAAGCATAATCACTACAACAAACACAAGACTATCGAACTGTGCTGTGTGTGTGTGTGTGCGTGCGAGGGGAGTGGGAGCGAGTGTCGCAGACCCCTGTATTCTTCTAGAAAAGCAGAGTACCTGTATTTTGTCCTCAACTGAAGATGCGTTTGCCCAGATGGCGCTCACTGTTGTGCAAACTTTGGCATATGGCTGGAGATGTTGGCACAGCATCATGAGCGGATGAGAATGTCGCTTCAATGTCGCCACTCAACTAAAGATCGTTCTTTAGCAGCCTTTCATGCCGTCGTCGTACAAGAATTACGAGAAAAGCTTACATTTTCTCGATATTTACTTGAAGATTCTGCAAAAGTACTGCAATAGAAAATCGATGGGTGAAAGCGGGAAAGACATGAAGTCGATGCTGGTCGGATTTCGCAATTAGCTGTGGCATCAAAGTTGGACCACGGAACACTTTGACGAGGGCCTCACCACAGATCATTATCGGTTAATGGCAGGCGACATCTATCCAGCATAAGGTGAAGATTCATTATCCACTTATACTCGTATACTCTCTTGGAGAGAGTTCCAGGCTGCTCGTACATGTGCAGTTCCATAGCCTGAGGAACAGCCATCTTCCGTGGAATGTTGTATGCGGTATATATGAGTTTCCTTTCCCGAAGGGACTCATTCGATCGCTGCCTTTCGCTTCGTTATGCCTGCCTTTCATCCGTCAGAATAGCAGTGTTAACTAGGCAGGAATTTTCAAGTAAGCCTTCCTCTTCGTCTCATTGACTAAAAATCGCCAGCCTTTATTGTCGAGTTTTTGTTACCCGATCAATTCTGAATTTTCGTCCTTCGTCAATTCTCGTCACTCTCCCAGTCGTCCATCAGTCAATATTCGTGATTTCGTCATCAACTATAATTTTCGTTTCGTCATCATCATCGTCGACGAAAATGAAAATCCTTTCGCTGACGAAAATTTTCGTCACCATTTTCGTCGCCGAAATTAACTCTGCAGATTGGTGACGGTCAGATAGGTGAGAATTGGTTGTATTCCAAATATTTCCTCTTATTCACCTTTTACTAAAGGTAGAGGTATGGAATCATGCTAACCAGGACGTCCGAAGCGGCCAGGATCCCCATCTTTTCCCCTAATTCCAGGAGGACCCCGAGGCCCTGATCCCCCAGGAATTCCAGGGTTTCCACGAGGCCCGGGGAATCCACTTCTTCCATGTGGCCCTAGGCTCCCCTTTGGTCCGATTATTCCAGGTTTGCCAGATAGTCCAGGTAATCCAGTCTCTCCCGCCTCTCCCTTCCGTCCCAGGAACCCTGGCCTCCCAGGGTAACCTTGTTCGCCGTACTGTCCCTTGAATCCCTTCGACCCGAACAATATCTTCCCAGGTGTTCCACGCTCTCCTTTATATCCTGGACGGCCTGTTGGTCCTATACCTCCCTCTACTCCGGGAATACCTGGAAACAAAAATCGGAGACGAGAGGAAGGGGTGAATTCCACGTTAAAATATTACTAAGGATAATTTCTTTATATAAGGTAGGCATTCTCACTTCTTTATTTCATGCTGTCATTCCAGTTCTTATGAAGTTTCTGCTGTCAATGACAGTGTACGTAGACCTTACTCTCTTTTTTTAATTTTTTTTACAAGAATCCGTACTTGATTCATCCTTCAGTTCATAATTGATTCTATATAATAGTTATGATGAATTTAACTCAGAAGTGATCCAAAAGTGATCGGAAGATGTCATCTATTCATAGTCTTCTGGTTTAATTTGAAGTTTTACAAGATGCTCAATGTAGCGTGGGGAATGATTACTAGAAAGCTAAAACATTCAGAATGAAGCAAGAATTACGTGGTTCTGGATTGAGACGTCGCATGAGGCATTCAAAGGAATTATTTTGAGGTACCAAGAAGAGTTTCGTAATCGGACTTTACTCTTTCTTTTATTACTCATCATGCACAAAGCGGCACATTGTTTCGAAGGGGACTACTACGTGACTATCTAACCTACTAATATCTAATCTAATTTCGCAAGGAAATAGGCTATTCCTTAGAGGTATCAGAAATAATATTAAAATTCTGCTGATTGCGTGTAAATTTATAGCCAAAGGCAAATTGGATATGACATCAATCAAATGAACACGGCAGGGATGGCTTTCAGCAGCGTATCTCTCCCCCTGGAGACAGCTGATTCAAGCAGACTGAGGGCAACGGCTGCACCTGATGGGATATTGGTCCAACGGTCGTTAATTTCAATTGACTTTCCGACTGGGGCTGTTGGCTGTTAACTTTTACTCAACATCTTTTTCTAAATCACGTCATTATATGCAGTGAGAGTTGCCATTTTCCACGTAAAATTTTTACAAATGTAGGTTCGCTGGTCTGGGATAAATCTCCTTTGGAAGGATGTTCTTTTTTTTTTAGCATCCCCTGTATACCATTTGGATCGTTCTGATCAAATTAATCAAATACAAAAGTTCTGGAGGAATGCAGTTCACTCCCTTTTCTTCTGCAACTCCGTAAACCTTGGGCTGAGGGAATGCTTACTAAGCTCTGAACCTCACGGTCTCTGGGTCTATACATAGTAGTGAAGGGTGGGTGGAGGAAATTACTTAGCAATGGAGTGCCTCCACAACTATGCTACCCAGTATTGCCTGCATACTGTATCGCCTACAATTCATCATCGAACACATCCCTCTCCGTCGAAATGGCTGGAACAGTTCCTTCGAGAAAGTTCGTAATTTGTTGGCTAGTAAGGTATGAAAACAAGAGGATTGAGAACTGACCATCCGGCCCCCTGTCTCCTTTGGGGCCTTGGAAGCCTTCTCGACCGGGCCTCCCGACTGTACCCTTGGGACCTTGATCTCCTGGAAGACCCTCCAATCCTGGGGCACCGGGTATGCCAGATGAGCCCTCGAACCCTGGGTTGCCACGAAGACCCTTTTCTCCCGGTAGCCCAGGCAGCCCCTTAGGTCCCTTTCTTCCGTCGTCACCTATTGACGAGGGAGACAAGGGAAGTCGCTAGAAAAATCCTCATGTTGAAGCCTCGATTTGGAGGAGAGGCTAAGCCGCGCGAGACGCCGTTTGGTCACACGGCCTCGAGTTTTCCTGATAAAGAGTATTATGTCGCGACACGGATCAGACAGGTTTTTATCGTTTGTTTCATATTTCACGGAAGACCAATGTCGCAGTTCTCGACGATGCCCACCTATGAAATGTGAGCTCTTCCTTTAGCGATATATCTGAGTCATGTATTAAACGATGCTGCACGATCAATATTTCTTTCGTGCCACATCGCAGAAAAGAAGAAATATCTCCATTCCTCTCTACACTCCTCTCTCCCTCTCTATCTGCATTTTATTTCCACCGTCTTCAGGAAATGCGCATTTCATCGAGGCACAGATTTCGTCTGACGTACTGTAGGCTAAAGAACCGAGTAGAATGATTTAAGCCTGTGACGTACGAGGCTTCGTGATGGTTCATTGAGAGTTCACATGTCTCATTCGATCTATCTCTCTGAAACGTTTCTCGTGGAAAAGTCTAAATCCACGGCAGGCACAATCATAATGCTGGCTGTTGGAAACCGTTCTCAGAACTTCTAGAACGAAGGTGAAGAAATTGAAGTTCCTTCGATCTGACATTGAAATAATCGTATCCAGTACGTACCTCTGAGACCTCTGTGCAACCATGGCATTGAAGTTTCGAACAAGAATTTTCAACTTTTTTTTCCTACCTCCCTCCGCGATAAAGGGTTCTGGATATAGAGGCACACACTTTCCATAAAACGCACGGAGTTGCACCTCGGAGTTGGGTTGCATTGATATACAGGGTGTCCCGTAAGTCACTATTCCATTTCAAACTGCAATATTTTCCGAACTGCAACATGCAACAACCAGGCCACTGTCAGCATTGTTGGAAAGAAAGTTCTTTAGAATTTTTTTAAAACAAATGATGACTTGGAATTGAACTCAAACGAAAATAGCTTCAAAAGCATATTAGAAAGGTGTACTCTTTAGGGTGATTTATGGTACACTTTGTTGGATCCTCTTCAACAAAACTCTTAAACTACATATTTTTCTCTCCTAATATCAGATAGAAAAAAAAAATTTCAGTCATGGGAAAAGGATTCACAATTTGTCACTTGAGCAATGAAGGATAGTTGCCATCTGGATGGAGGTCTTTGAGAGTCTCATCAGAGTTTAAAGGGAGTTTCAGCAATATCTTTTTGTTGAACCTCATGCTAAATGTATTGATATAATTGAAGAGAATTTTGAGGCACTTTCAAAACTCAGAAATACCTCCATTTTTGATAAGGATAATTCTAAATGACGTGATATCTTTCAATTAATGTTATTTCTTTTTTGTGCCTCCTTTTCAGTAGATGTGGATTTTTGAAATGGTATAGTGACATGGGACACCCTGTACATAGTACGCTCCGATAGTCATGTGTAACCGATTAGAAATCTCTGCAACTGGTCTCATCGACTGCATCTTCAGAGAATCTCCATTTTCTAGTCGAAATGGAGACGTTTGCACGAAAAGAAGAAAGGTTTTACCCCACGAGAGTGATCAGGCCACTTCTGTCGTGGTAGTAACTGCTGTATCTGGTCTCGTTAACACGTTGACGACCAGCCTATTTTTGCTTGTCCGCCGCGTGGGACCACGCGCATTTTTTTTTGTCAAAAAATGCGTCCTGCCATCAGGACGCATGGTCCCAGAAAACATTTTTTTTGCCGAGTTTTTTTTAAATGTTGAATTTTTTGACATTTTTATCAGTAATTACGAAATCATAATCTTCTGGAACGTTCTCAACAGTTCCAGAGGGTATTCATTGAAAAAAAATCTGCATCCTGGCATCAGGACGCATTGTCGCCAACGTGTTAACAAGACGGTAGAAGGCGATCGAAATTTTTTTTTGAAAAGCAGATAAATTCACCGTTAACGTGACAATAGAACGCGAGCACTAATATGCACAGTGCTGCAGAATGAGGATTCCCTAATTTTGAATTTTCCTACTTTACCTCGCACCCCACATCTCGCTTCTTTCAAAACCTTTTTCACATGAAGGTTATGGAGCAAATTTACGAAACGTGAAGAAATGGGTTACCAATAACGTAAAAAAAAAATTCCTCAACAATCACGGAATGGATGTGGCTTTCCTAAAGCCAAATTTCATCCAGTCATGAAAAAAGCGAGAGACGGTGAGGATGGAATGGTCATCCGGTGCCTTTATCTACAAAACGTGAGACACTAACGAGAGTTCCACGGAAAATCCGAAATACCCATCGAGTATTGCGATGAACGTTTCACAAATCATCAGCAAGTTTGCTACAAGGTTTGCAAGGCCCACTCATGAGTACTTGATAAGTTGTGAATCTTCCACAGTTGAGTCACCCGAACAAGGTCGATCAACAAAAAGTCTCTCTTCCCAAGGGAGGAATTGCTTCCAAAATGAATAGAATCTTCAAAAGAGAATCATCAACAATTTTGCATGCTGTTAAGAGCTCTTGGTGACGTGATAGGATAAATTATTCTCTCTTCGATCGCCGTCATCCACCACGTGCGAAAGATGATTAGAGTTGGGAAGGGTGATCCTCAACCGAGGAAATGGAAGGTGATCCATTGTGCATCCTTGTGCAATCAATCACACCTCATCGGGCGACTTAGGCGGCCGAGTTTCGCCCACCTAAGGCTTCCGAATTTTCGCAAGCGGGTGTTAATAGCGTACGCTAGGAGGACCGACTAAATCATTATTCGGCACATTTAATCTCCACCGCAGTGCTCCCTGAGTATTTCGCATTATCCGTCCGAGTCCCTTTCGCCCTCTTTTTAACCCATTCACCGGTGAGTTTTGATATAGAAAGGGAAATGGTCAGCACGAACATTTATTGGAAATATCAGTGAAACCGGTTAAATCGACTTTAAATCGATATTCACTTTTGGCGGTGCCATATGCCCATCAAAAGATAATCGAGAAGAGTGCATTACGAAAGAACACGCACGAGAGTGGACCTGATCCATGGAACTCGTGGACGGAACGAACCACCTCCCGAACAAATCGACGGAAGACCATCGCACGATTCGTCGGTCGGTATTCCGTAGAAAATGATGAGTATGGTGAGAATCGGAGAAGTGCGGCGATGCGTCTGTTATCTCTACGATTGACCCTAGAGTCCTGGGGAAGACGATCTCACCTGGTATGCCACTTACTCCCGGATCTCCTGTGGGTCCCCGTAATAACGTTAGCCCTGGTCTACCGTCTCTCCCATTCTGACCCGCTATTCCCGGCTCACCCGGAAGCCCCGGCAGACCCACTATTCCCGGATCACCGGGAAGACCCGAAGGACCCGTTTCACCAGGTGCCCCGGGGAAACCTGTCACGGAATGCATATGCAATTAAATTCGCAATGAGGAAACGGAAACGAAGAACGTCGAGAATTCGAGAGTGATACCCTTGGGCCCTGGAGTGCCAAATGTTCCAGGAAGTCCAACATCTCCCATTCTCCCGGGAGTACCAGGTGGACCCACGAGTATCCCTCCGGGTTCGCCTCGTATCCCCTAAAAAGAAGTCGGTTGAGGAGAGAAAAAAAGGCACATTTTCTGTGTTGGAGTAGATTACTTCCAGGCGTTGGTTTGCAGACGACGTACGAGCGGGTTTTGAGATCGACGTCGTCTCAGTAGACGGACTTCATGGTCATCGACTTCATATTGACTTTCTACTCCATTCAGCTCATGATTTCATTCACGTTATAACTATACAATGGTGAGTCACAAAATATCGGGAATCGTTTTGTTAACACACTAGACGTACGCTCCATCCGCATGGAGGAATTTGTTCCACCTCTTCATCAGGCTCTGGATTCCTCGAGCAAATGATTCCCGCATCTGCTGTCAGTCAGGTCGGCGACAGGTACTCGAGATGACTGGAACATTCTTAATCTTTGTGATGTTCCTCACCCGGATCGCTCTGTTCTCCATCACGCGTGAAAGGTGTTCGTGTTTTAGCCTACACTACTTAAATCAGATTTTGAGGCACTTTTGCTGCTCTCTTCCTAATACGAACGTTAGATGTCTCGGAAGTGGCACCAAGTGAAGCCGTAGTTTCCCACTCGTTTGCTTCCCCGCTGCATCCATAATGCATTCCTGAGGGATTCAGATCGGAATCCTTCCTCCTTTCCTTACTTTATGTTTGTCTGATGTCTCTTTGGTCATTAGAATGTGAAATACTTCTCCATGAAGTCCGGGTGAATCCCACTACCATTCCCATTAGAATGCGATCGCAAGCGAACTGGAGTAGAAAGTCACAACCTAGCTGCTGGCTCCGAAATCCGACTTTTTACGGTCATGCAACCCGAAAGGCACATGCTCTCGCACTATCGTGCGCAGATTGTTACATCGCGACGAGGAGGATTTGATTCAGCCGGACCTTAATTCCAGGTCTTCCAGCGAACCCGGGCGCTCCTTTCGCCCCCTTGTTTCCAGTCGCTCCAGGTGGTCCCGAATAGCCCTTACTTCCTGAAGTCCCATCAATACCGGGCTCGCCCTTCACTCCCGGGAAGCCCGGAGTTCCCGGTGGACCGAAAAGGATGGGAAGCCCATGGTCTCCTGGTTCCCCTTTCACTCCGTTTACACCCTACGATTCAAGAACACGAGGGTTAAGGTGATGAAAACCTCTCGACTCTTCAGATATCCATCTAAACTTGAAACCAGTAAGATCCTAAGAGCCGTTATGATACGGTTTCACGCAGCACAAATTCATTCTGAGTCTCGAATATGTAAATGCGTGAGTCGAGGAATCGCGAGGGATCCATTTGACAGCCTACTCACAGTTTTCGGTTTCGTGAAGTGTCTATAAGGTTCGTAACTGCAACGAAATATGGTGCCAAAAAGCAGATGTAAAATTGCTCAAATACTTAAATGGGACAACTTGGGGGGCAAGGATGCACTGAGCACTAATTTAACCCTTTCGTGCATGAATTTTTAAAGCAAAATAAAAATATGCCCTTTATGGTTTAAGGAGGTACTCTGCCGTAGTAGTACTGCTAGAAAGAGACACTTAACAGATTATGTGCCCTTGAGTTGACTGCACGCACCAAAAGTTTCGGGGTATGAGTACCATAGCTGAAAACTCAATTATCGTCAAAAATTTTGCCGTCCACTACAGTGGACACCATGCACGAAAGGGTTAATGCAAAATTCTAGACCCATGTCAGCACTCAGCAGCGGGAGAAGGGGGGCGGGGGATGAGGAAGCTTTGTGCGCAGTGAACCCCTCCCACGCCGTAAAAAAAAAACCGCTTTTGAAAACCAACTAGAGCACGAATGAGTCGTGGGCTTTTTTTTAAACTCCAAACAGAATGATCGCTAATTCCAATTCTGCTGCCCATTCATCACTCCAATCTACTGCAGGTTCGCGGATTCATTTTGGCTCTGGGGTTTCTTTGAAATTACCAGAAGAACTCACGGGTATGCCGTCAATTCCGGGTTTCCCAGGTTTACCCTTTTGACCTCGAGGTCCCGGTTCTCCAGGGATACCCAGGTACCCCTTCAAACCCACGTCTCCGGGCACTCCATCTCGCCCAGGTGATCCTCTGGGTCCAGGACCGCCGGGCGCACCGGGCGCACCGGGTGGTCCGGCTTCTCCCGGTTTCCCAGGAAGGCCTGATGAGATCCATAAATCCCGAGTGAAATCTACGACGTGGACTTGACGAGAAACTGAAACGCAAATGTCAGGACGCTCACCAGGTATGCCCATGAAACCACGATCACCTTGTGGCCCGGCGATGATATTCATATCAGCAGAATCCCCCGGTTCTCCTTTCAGGCCTTGGTAACCATCATCTCCCCGAGGACCCCTTCAGAACTCATCACATGGAGATCCGAAGACATTCGAGCACCGAAGGTATAAAGCGAAAAGTTTGATACCTGAATCCGTATTCACCCTCGTCTCCAGGGATCCCTTGACCAGGCGGTCCAACGGGTCCTTCTACCCCATCTGGACCCCTCGCCCCGGCGAGTCCTGGTATTCCCGGCTCTCCGTTCTCACCCTTGTATCCTACTACGCCCGGCCCTCCGGGGATTCCGTCAGTACCCGGCCTACCTGGTTCACCCTGAGGTCCTCGAAATCCTTCCAATCCCTGTTCCCCTTTAGGGCCGGATAGGCCTTTGGGTCCAGGTGTCGCTCCGAGAATCTCCCCTGTCGGTCCTTTGTCACCCGGATACCCCGCAATGCCTTGAAAGGAATAACCGAGACGAAAATGAGTCGATTCTCCTCTTCCATGGATGGTAACAAATCCTATCTCAGTTCAGAACAGACCAACGGCTCCAGGGCGTCCAGGGATCCCATCGAAGCCGGATAGTCCTGGCTTTCCTTTCACTCCCGGGAGTCCTCTGAATCCTGGAAATCCCGGGAACCCTCGAGGTCCCTGGAATCCCGGTCTCCCGTTCTCACCCGGTGGTCCCTTTTTCCCCGGTATCCCTGCATCACGATGACGAACCACATTTATACGGATCGGAGAAGAACGGAGAAAGCATCCCCTGAAGTGATATCCCCTGAAGAGCTAAGAAAAAGACATAGATGACATTGGGGCTTGCAAGGCAAGACTCTAGTATCCTCAACCACGTACTTCCTATATTCCTGTCGGAATACAGGAAGTACGTGGCCTTCGTACGTGCCACGTTAATCTTTATAGTTGAACTTTGCGAACTATAAGAATTCTGAGAAGATAAAACGTTAACCAATTTTCGAATCTATTCATGACGATCATCGTAACGTTTGGGAGTGGGAGATTTCACGAGGAAGGACCGTTTTCTTCTACGGTTCTTATTCTATTTGAGATTTTCAGGTGAAGCAAGGAACATCTTGAGGAACAACGAACAAACGCCTGCTTCTGTCGTGCAAAGAAGGGGGTCTCAATGTCCCGGTGCTTCGAGAGAAAATTTGGGCTTATCACAATGTTCATTCCATTATCCCAGGTAGCAAACAACGTTGGGCCCATGTTGGTTGCGAGTGGGGGAGCATGGGCTCACATCGCAGTGGGCTGCCCATGTAGGCCCCACATCGGCGTTACGGTGGCAGCCAACATATGTCATGTCTCAGGATGAGACATCTATCTTAGTTTTTTTTAACTAATAGCTTCCACAGCTGATGCGAGATGGCGACTATGTAGCCGATATTTCAGTGGGATCATGGATGCGTGAATTTAATAACCCTTTACTTTCCATGCTGTACTTGAGTTCTGATTTGAGTTTTGAATGAAATCACAATGGGGTTCAAATCCCGCGCGGAAAGTGAAGGCCTCAAAAGAAGACATTCGAAGCAAGTATTACTCCCTGGAAGACTTCTAGGCAGACCGAGAGAGACTCGGTGCCAAGGTCCCCGGTAGGGTAGCTGAACAATTATGTGCAAGTATAGAATCTCATTCGAAACCTCTTTTAATAGCTTGAATGTCATGCCACAAGTCAGCATTTGACGTTGGCCCACCGTGGGGCCGTGACACAAGCCTTCGAAGGACCAACATTGGGAACCAATGTTGCGCCCACGTCGCAAATGTGCATTTCCAACATATACCCAACGTTGGCCCAACGTGGGTGTGCTACTGGGGATCATGACGTCAAAAAAGGCAAGACCATGCTTTCATATGCATGCAAGATATACTTTTTCCTCCGAGAAAGTAGAAAGGGAGAGAAAGGAATGAAGTGGTGATACCGTCAGGACAGCTGCCTTGACATTCGATGCCCCGCTCCCCTTTAGAACCGGGTTGTCCGTCGAATCCATCCTGACCGGATACACCTACATCTCCTGGAAATCCGCGGAGGCCCGGAGGCCCGGGAGGGCCTTTATGTGCCACTCCTGTCCCTCGGGTTCCCTTTGGACCTGGAAAGCACGTTCCGTTGTTAAGGAATGTTTCATTTCAGCCTAAGACATGCAAAGGGTTTAGGACATCACCTGCTGAACCAGGATCGCCTTGAGGTCCTGGGAACCCCGGCCTCCCTGGTCGTCCCGGACCCCCATCTTCTCCCTTTTTCCCTTCGATCAGAGTAGGTAGATCAGAGTTGGTCGACAGAAACGATGATCCGTGGTTTACGTCTCGATGGTATTTCCTACTTACCGGTAAACGTGTCTCCAGGGGGCCCCTTCTCACCGGGTAAACCGTAGAACCCATTTTGACCTTTGGGTCCTCGTTCCCCAGGTACTCCAGGAATACCTACAAGCAAATGCAAAACAATACGAACGTTTCGTAAAGGATTAAACTCAGTTTTGCTGCCAAGACAAACTCGTACCGCCTTCTCCAGGTTCTCCGACGCTGCTGAAGCCGGGATTTCCAGGATTACCAGGGACACCTTTGGGTCCCGGATCTCCTGGAGGTCCCACGTATCCTAGATTTCCATCCCGTCCGGGGATTCCTCCGGCTCCAGGCGGTCCAATTGGACCTGGAATTCATACATTACATTAAACCCCTTTCTGTGACTCAAGCCTTTGAGCAGCTTTCCCTCCTTCCTACTGGACAAGGCAAAAAATGCTTGCTCAATGGGGGCACGGATCGTTTTGTAGCATCGCGGACCAGGTAAGATGCATCTCTCCAATATTTTCCCAAGACGGGGAAGCAAGTTAATCTCGGAAATTGAGTTGGTGAGTCATTTGCATTTGCCGGTACAAAGCGGTTCCGACCGAATTTTGATGGCGATGAAGCGTAATCACATGGCGATTGAATACAAAGCCAAAATTCGCAAGTTGCTCAAGATTCGCCCTAACTTGAGCTTGTCATCCGACTTTATTATTGGTTTTCCGGGTGAAACCGAGCAGGATTTTGCTGACACCATGAAGCTGGTTGAGGATATGAACTTTGATACCAGTTTCAGTTTTATCTACAGCCAACGCCCCGGTACACCCGCAGCGAGCTTGCCGGATGATGTGCCGCAAGCGGTGAAAAAAGACCGCTTGCAACACTTACAAACCCGCATTCTGGCGCAAGCCAACGCGATCAAGAGTCGTTTGCATTAGAAAAATCTTCCCATTCTCCCCCCCCTCCCCCCCCCCCCCCTCCCCCTTTTGTACAGACCGTTTCCCGAACAACTGCTCCGTCACGTCTGAGCTTAGCTTCTATCTCGCACTCTACAGTATGGTCTCAAATGATTAAGAAATTAAGAAAAGTTCAATGGAACCGTTGATGGAAGCCGTGCTCCTTCGTGCCAGTCACTCTCCGCAACTTCTTCTCTCGTATGGATGATGGAGCAGCTTTTTTAAATTTTTAGTTACAGGTGTATTTTGAGGCTTTTAATCCACTCGATTGCTTCAGGAGAGGCGGATTGGACTTCGGTGGTTCCACCACTGAAGGTGAAGATGCAACAGTCGTTGACGATGTGATCGACGGTTTGCTGGTCGTGACAAGCAAACCTCTCCGCAACTATAGCAAGCCAAGGCAGTAGCTCAGCAGGGATTAAAGCTGTAACGATGGCTGTTCTTGAAACGTCGAAGCATTGATGCTTCTCGATGGTGCATCGTTGCATCAGAGAATTATTTACCACCATGGGTGGCTCGTGATGTTCAGCAGGAGTGGATCGTCAATGGAGGTAGGGTAAGCCCGGGCCTACCTTGCTTCCATTGACGATCCACTACTGCTAAATATCACGAGCCGCCATTGTTTACCACATGTGAATTCCTTGGAGAAGGAGGGGGCACACTTTTTTCGTCTCTCTCCTGGTTGATTGGAGAGAAGGGGATCGCCTTTCGTTGTCTCTCGCCGCTTTCGATCAGGGGAGTGGGAGGAAGGGGGGGGGGGGGGGATGGCCGAACGAGAGAGACGGCCTGGATCATCTCGATGGTGGATAAAATCATTTTTACCTCCAACTATCGATTGTGACAGCCCAAGCAGGAATTAAACAAAATCTAGCACTTTTCGCGATGCAAGATGACGGCCAGATTAATTGCATCACCAAGCACGAAATCAGTCACCTTATCCCTAGTATCGATACTAACCTCCCTATCCCCCCCTTCTCTCGGCGCTCGACGCGATGAAAGCGATCGATAGTCACCAAAAAATCGAATGGTCTGGCTCGAGCACCGACATCTCAGGCAATGCTTTCGTGAATGTTGATCGATGATTTCAATTACAGAATCGAATGCCCAGATAGTTACCTCGATCTGTCTAAGATCACGATTCTAAATTGGTTGGTCGCAACCCACCGTATGCTTGAAGTTTCAATGGATGTATACGAAAATAAGCTTTGGAACCACTGGACTAAATAACGAAGAGTCAATTTAATGGCTGGAACTTTAAGACCCAAGCGCCTCCGTGATCCTCACGATACTAAACTATCGTAAAGGCAATCAGTCTCTCTGATCCTTTTGAATTCTTAATCCTACTGTTGCCTCTTCGGATTGCGTGGCTAGGGTACTCAAATGCACTGGCAAATCAAAAATGCTCTTAAAAATGTTTAACTCATCTTCAGTTTTGAGAAGCCTAAAAAAATGGGGTTTAATTTTGGATAATGTGAGAACGCGAGGAAAAGGTCGCATCCATGATGTCATTAGCGTCAGTGTTTTTCACTTGTGTCAGGCATATTTTTTTACTTGACTCGGACATGGATGCCTTTGAAGTGCTCCATGCACGGGCGCCCAAGCCAAATGAACAAAATGTCTGGCTAAAGTGCAGATCACTGTCAAGTCGAAGCGAAAACTTCCGCGTAGACGGTCTATCTTCTGCCGATCTTTCGGATGCCTGTGGCCTACTTATGGGACTTTTAAGTGTTTTTTTGTCATTTTCTGACGATACTTCGATTTTAATGACCAGCATGCGCTGCTTTTCAGATTGAATTTTTATTATCCTTGGGTACTGGAGAACTGAGGAAGTTCTACTTTCCGAGGATCCGCGTCATCAAATGATATACGAAACCGCCCGGACGGAAGATGTCACAACCTGCAATCGATGGAGGGGGGAACAAATTTCAAGCCAAAAAATAGCGTAAACTAATTGACTTCAGCATGACAATTTCTATCATAAACTAACCCTTTCAGACCTAGCGTCTATTCCAATGTACATCGCATTTTCATTGTGTCTATGGTAATTTCTTTGGATTCTCAAGACTTTGCTCCCCATACTGCTCTACAATGGGCGTAATTATGCATGGCTCAGTTTCAATTGGAGGCCTTCTCTCACCCGTCAATTTTGTTATCTTCAGTTATGTAGTTAAATGTATAATATATAATATGGTATGGCAAATTTATACAAAATATAAAAATGATATATAGAACAAAAAAAGTTAAAGTAAAATAGCAAAAGAGCCCAAAAATGCAAAAAAAAAGAATATCATTCCGAAAGCGGCCTTAATTCAGGTCTGAAAGGGCTAAGGAATCCCCCTAGACCTAAGCCCATCATTAGGCTTCAGCCCTACGCATCAGGCTAAGCGTAGTCTATTTTGAAAAGCAATTATAAATTTGACGGTTCATCAAAGCATGTACCTGGTCTATTTTGGAATGCAATTGCCCAAAAAATGATTCAGGGCCGCTGCAAATGCAAATACAGGGTAACGCCAAAGTTTCGCGTCCGTTTCATTTTTGCGTATTTCGCAAAGCACAAAGAATGACAAATTCGTAGCTGGGAGAAATTTAACTACCGCACCGTAAACAGGTGGTCAAGAACGTCAAAACTTTTAAATAAAAAATATAAGATTTAGCGAAATTAAATCGGGGCGAAAAATGTTCACCACATTGTACCTCGAAAATGCAAGAAGGCACTGAACCGCTCTCAATCCCTCCCGCAGAGGACTCTTATGCACCTTACTCGGAGCCTGCCTGCTCGGAGAATATTTTATCCATGGAAGAAGTTCTGCAAGCCTTTCGTACGTTGAATAGGAATGAAATCTTGGCAGAAGCACTTAAAAGCAATTGGCGCAAATGGTTACTTTTATTTGCATTGGGTACACTCTTAGAAAATTAAGAGCGTCTAGAGAGTAAAAAGTGAGCACTATGTGAGCTAGTTCAAATATACTCTCTTATTACTCACCAAATGCTCCCTGATCCCTCGTAGTGAAGTGAACACATTGAAGTTCTTCGCCAGGCCACTAAATGGAGGTATAGATCTCGCTTTTCGCACAGTACATACAAGTTCCCTTCCCTCTTTCCCTGGAATCGTCCCTCGAAGGGTTGTTTAGTACCTCGACATATGTCTCGCTTAGTCTCATTATAGGAATCAATGAACACGGACACTTCATCATTTGTTATCCACATATTCAAGACATATTCATAGAGTCCAGGCCATAAACAAACTCATATTCCTATTGAGAACCCTTTTGGGATCCGTATGGTTCCATCCGCATGGGAGAACTAGAATACAATGAGGGTGTCCGTTGAAGTCTAATCATCAATACCTCAACTTAATGAGGTAATGAAGGACTAATATCCTGGACACTTCACGGAACCGTAAGAGGTGGTCCAGTACAGTCAGAGGTAGGTCAACGCATGTATTGTATGAGAATGAAAGTGACGCAAAGTATATAATAAAGCTTGCATGACATCCCTATCTCTTTCTGATGGAAGCGTTTTTACTCACGGAGGAAGAGAGCAATTTTACTCCTTGGTGATGGAGCAAATTCGCTCCTTTCCCAGAGTGAAAGGGGAGTGAAACTGGAGTTAGCAATTTTACTCTTTTTTTTATTTAGAAAAATCGCTCCCCTTTTTCTAAGAGTGTATATCAATTATGGGCATGGAAAACTGAAATGGCACTTACAAGCTGACAGACCGGAGTGATAGTTTATGTTTATTGATAAAAAGTGACTCAAGGGAGTCCACCAATTATCGTGAAATCACTCTCATCGGCACCCCCGGTAGTGGTTAAGGCGCATCCATGTACCATTATTTCGTTGTGCTCAATATTCGCGATTAGCGTCACGCCAAATCCTTGTCAGTCTAGATGACTATCTGATTAGCACAGGGCCGGATTAAGAAGTTGCGAGGCCCGGGGCAAGTGAATTTCTGGGGCTCCCCCCCCTCCCCGCTACTTTAAGCAAATACAATACTTTTTTGTACTTAACGTTTTAATTTCCCTCGGAGGGGGGGGGGGGGGCCCTGGAAGAGTGGGGCCCGGGGCAACAGCCCCCTTTGTCCCCCCCTTAATCCGGCCCTGGATTAGCATAGAAATATACAATGGAATGCAAGCGAACGGACATTATGCCGAAGGACAGCAGACGAACGCAACCATGCACTGAATAATTTTCCTTGCAGGACATTGCTACTGTCCTGCACATTTACTCCACGTGCATGGAATCGTGTAAGACTTGGATGTCTATCCAAGGATAACAGTTATGCTAGGGTCGCTCCAAAAGTAATGCCTCCTTTTTTTAAAATCTCAGTTACCTTTAATCCCTCGCCCAAGAAGCTTGTACACATAATTACTTGGAATGATGGGAGCAGTGTGCTATTTTTCCACGCAA